AATCTAAGATAGTTAATTGATAAATTCAAAGCACAGAAGCTGTATGTAAATAACTAAAAGAAAATTATTCACTACAATAATCATAGTTTATATAAACACTATTTAGTGTAAATATAAATATTTTTGTGAGAAAAGAATTCAATAGTATTTAATCTTGCCAATATTTATTTTCAACTAATTTCTATGAATTGAAGTAAGTCTTAATATTGAGTCATGAAAAAAAGACTGTTTGGGGGTTGCTAAATATGAGAAGAGAATGTTAGAAGTATGTTTGTGTCTAGGAGAAAATTAATTATATATCTACTCCTCTACAAAATCGAGCAGTGACTCATTCTTTTCATCTTTCAAGTGGTAGGCAAGAGATCTATGAGCAACAGAATTTGGAGTATGGAAAATATAAATGTGATTAAATATCAACCCTTTTGGAAGATTAAAGTGTAAGCAAAGGGAAATTCCTTCTCCTTCAAGCAGTTAAGAAAAATGTTCAACATAGTTCAAAAGTGAGTTAACTTTTGATTTCAAATTAAACACTTAGAAATTCTCGATAAAATATAGCACATTACCTTACCTGTACAAAGGTGCATGCACAGGAAATCCCTAGGGCCAAAACAAAAGAGCTGGAAATCAAAGGGGAAATCAGAGGATAAACATGGTGAAGGCTCAGCTCCCCTCTAGCGTTTGCATAACTTGGTAACTGGACCCTGGGTAGTGACAGCTATTCCTAGGACAATGTCTGAAGCCAGCACCAAGCAGGGAGTTACAACTAACACCCCCACAAAAATCCTAGACGCCCCCATAGAAACACTCTCAATACAGGGAAGACTAGGAAAAGTTCTTCCAATGAAGAGAGGAAACAGATTTCTAAGTTTCAGTCTTGTCTCTGTTAGGAATCAAGTATCCCCTAAAGTCATAAAGCCTTGAGATTTCCGTGTTTCAAAAACACCAATTTAAAGTCATACCACATTGATGGTACAACTGCATACAATGCAGAAGACACTGGAGTTCAGAGGCAGTACAATGCATGTATATGGTCATTTGGTTTAAGTCCATGGTGCACACAGTTCAAAGGGGTAATATGGTCTTTTTAATAAATGCAATAGGATCAACTAGGATAAAAAAACAAACAAACAAACAAACAAACAAACAAAAAAAGTTAGATGTGTGTGAATGTGTGTAGAATCAAGTCTGGTTGTAAAGAATTGGTAATAGTCAGCAACTACATCCAGTGAGCCAAATTTGGTCTGCTTCTGCTTTGTAAACAAAATGTATTGGAACACCATTCATTTCACACAATAGTGGCTAGGTTGAGTAGTTATAGCAGAGATATAATTAGCCCACGAAGCCTAGAATATTTCATTGATTTGCTATCTGGCCCTTTACAGACATGTTTACTGACTTCTGACATTTGTCTACATAGAATGTTTTCATAATTCTGGCATAGGCAGGCCCCATGATGAAGGAAGTGAGTGATAAGGTAGATTATTCTAAAATAAAGGACTTCCATTTATCAAATAATACCATTAGAATGAAGGCTGGCCCCATGGTTAAGGAAGCCGGATCACATCTGCTGACCATGCTGTGCAAATCCCAGCCCTGGAAGCTTGAAAAACATGTTAGATGTGTGTGAATGTGTGTACGTGCAAAATGCTGACAGGATAGAGAAATGGAGATGCTATTATGTGTGACCAGACCCCATGAGGGGTATTTTCTCCCTCTTCTCTCTGTCTCTGTCTTTCTCTGGTAAGCACACATGCCCTCTAGTAAAATTTATATATATGTATGCACACACACATATACGCACACTTGCACATATATATATTTATACACACACGTATATATGCACACTTGCACACACACACATATACCGTTAAAATTATGAAAATGTAAACTACAAAGAGAATGTATTTATAATACACATATTTGACAAAGGGCTATGTCCACAGTGTACAAAGAACTACAAATCTGTAATAAAAATATAGGCAGCCAATTAAAAAATAGGCAAAAAACTTTAAGGGGCCCTTGATAAAAGTGGCTGATAAACATGAAAAGATGCTCAATTACATTATACGGGAAATGCAACTTAAAAATGCAATGAATTGTACTACATACTAACACCAATATGACTAAAATGAAAGAGTTGAAAATAATACTGCCACGTGTTAACGAGAAGGTGAAAAGTGGGAAGGTTCCTAAACTGCTGAAGGGACTATACATTGGTGTATCCACTATGGAAAACTGACAGTATCTATACAAACTAAACATTTGAAAATCCCACAACCAAGCAATTTCCGTCCTAGATATACACCAAACAAAATGCCTGTTCCCCAAAGACACACAAGAATGTCAAGGGGCCAGCAAGTGGCATGGTGGTTAAGGCACTGGACTCCCTCATGGCTGACAGTGGTTTGAATCCTTGACCTGGCAGCTTGCTTTGTCACTTTCCCTCTCTCTCTCTCTTTCTCTGGTGAGTGCATGTGCCCCATAGCAAGTTTGAAAATGATAATAATTTTAAAATAAGATAATTTTTTTTAAAAAAAGAATGTCCATAGCAGATTTACTCATCATAGATAAAACCTGAAGCAACCTACGTCTGTGAATAACACAATGGATAAATTGTTATATTCATACAAGTAAATACCTCCCAGCAAGCAGAAAAACAAACTATTGATACTTACAAAGCATGAATGACTATATATGTGTGTGTATACACACACACACACCCGCAAAGCTGCCATAAAGGAAGTACTGCAGACTAGGTAGCTTAAACAGCAGTTTATTTTCCAACAGTTCTGGAAATTAAAAATTCAAGATTAAGGTTTTAGCAGATTTAGTTTCTTGCAAGGACTCTCTCCTTGGCTTATAGATGGCCACTTTCTCACTATCTTCACAGTGCCTTTCCTCTTCCCACTTGCATGGCTGTGTCCTCATCTCCTCTCATGAGGACACCAGTCATATCAGATTAGGGTCCACCATGTAAGTTCATTTACTTTAATCTCTAAATATTGTCACATTTTAAGGTACTCAGAGTTATGACTTCAACATTTACAGTCGGAGTGAAACAATTCAGCCAATCACTATATATGTGTTGAAGTAAAAGAAGTCAGAAACACATGCAAGTATATATTGCATTATTCTAAAATTAGTCTATATGATGGATAATTGTGATTACCTTCTGGAGTTGAGAGATTGGAGAAAACATAAAGGAGTTTTTCAGGGTGTTTATAATGTTCTATTTCTTGATCTGGGTGCTACCTATACAAGACTGTTTGTTTGGAAAGATTTTTGAGCCAAGTTCTTGAGATTTATTTATCTATATCTATCTTATAGGTCGAAAATATTTATTTAAATTAAACTATTCAAACCAAAGCTACAGAAAGAAAGTATTCACTTTTGGATATATACTCACAATGAAAACACACAAACCAGATCAATATGAACAAGTTTGAAGGAAACATACACACATCAGATGTGCACTTCAAGTGTTTGTGATATTAGAAGCAGATAATAAAATAAATCTGTTGAAAGATATAACAGAGAGAATAAAAAGCATAATCAAAGAATAAGATATTGCTTTTAAAAATACCCAAATAGATATCATAGAAATGAGAAATATATAATCACTGAAATTTTAAAAATTTAATCTATAGCTTAGAGAGAGGCATTAGGCGCAGTCATTCTGACGCAGCAATAGCAAAACACTTCACAAAACTGGAAGCCAACGGAACGACTGTGAGGAGTTCCCAGATGGACCTGTGAGCCCACGGCATAAGCACATACTTGTGATCAAGCCTGACTAGGAAAGGCAGGGTGGGGTAGGGGGGAGATCATAGCATGAGATCCATTGAGGGTACTTATCTCAGTCTCTCTCTTTCTTTATCTCAGTAAACAAACTTTTTTTTTTTTTTGAAGAGGTTTTTGCTTTAGGGCGCATGTGCTCGCCAGACAGACAGAGAGAGACAGAGAGAAAGCGAGAAATCACCCCCCAGAGGGGATGGCCACTCCGAAATCCCTTCTCCTCCATTCTCTTCTCGGGATCTTGGGCACGCACATGTGCCCGGTGTGAGTTTTAAGCCACCGGGTTGGGACGCGAACCAAGGTCGACTACGTGGGAGTCCAGCGACATAGCCATTACGCTAACTGCTGGTCCCCCCTCAGTAAATAAACTTTAAAAGTTAGATCAGACATAACAAAAATCAACTGGTTGACCAGAAGACAGTTCTGAAGAAATCATTCAAATTGCTGCACCAAGAAAAGAAAGATGAAATCATAAAATAGAAAAACAAATTTTAACAGAAGATGAAATAGAATTCTAGAAGAAAAGGACATATCTATGCATATATATGTAAAGCACACAAAAACATACAAAAAAGAGAGAAAATGGCTAATTTTCAATAATTTTTAAAAAACGAACCTATAAACTGAAAATTACAATCAGTACCAAAAGAAAACAGTAACAAAATCCATACATAGCAATACTCTAGTGAATCTGAGGAAAATTAAGGTGTCTATTAACTTCTTTTTCTTATTTAATGAGCTGGTTACTGATAAAATCCATAAAACAAAATTCTCTTTTGATCCTTCCATTGCTGGTCCATAATATATGACATAATCATGTTGAATTAATTTTGTAGCTACAAGTCTTCACATGGTTTTATGGCTGCTTTGAAATTTTGCATCTTTAAGGACCTACATTTGCCTTACTCTAAGATCTCCCTCCAAATCCCTTTTTATAACTTTATTTTCCAAAGCAGTCACTGAAGACTGGTAAAACTGATGAATGTCCTCTTAAAGCTGAAACTGAAAGTATCCATCTTTGCAAAGAAAAAATGGTCTTCAAAATAACTTCTCAGATATTTGCATCGTAGGTGTCAGCAGAATCTCTTCATAATTATTTTTTTCTATATTTCTGAATAGTGACTTATCATTGTATATATGTGTGCATGTGTAATGCACACATGTAATTTTTCACGATTTGTCGAAATTTCCTGTTCTTTCTCTAGCAAAAATAGATCCTCCAGCCATAAATATAACCCAAGTTAACGGATCTTTGTTGGTGATTCTCCAAGCTCCAAATTTGCCATACAGAGACCAACATGGAAAAAACATATCCATGGAAAATTTCTATGAGCTGGTATACCGAGTTTTTATAATTAACAATTCTCTAGAAAAGGTAAGTTCCAATCAACAGATAAGCTTAGTAATTTTTTCTTTCATTTAACTAACATTCTGACCATATTATGTGTCCTTTCTTCTAATATTTTCTCCTCTATTTTTCCTTATATTTTTAAAAATTCCTTCCCACTTTCACCCTCACTGATAAACCATTAATGCTTAAATCACCAGAACTTGTGTGTGTGTGTGTGTGTGTGTGTGTGTGTGTGTGTGT